CTAATTTATTACTGTTAAGAGGATTGAGAAAAAGAATAGCTAGCTGCACATTGAACACGACCTATGCATTGGTACATAACATGGTCTTGTGATGCAATAGGGGGATTTTGGTTTGTTAGTTTAGACATACTTGCATATGTGTAATCTAACAAGCTAGATTTGGGCATATTATATAGCTCGCAAAATATAAAGTGTTAGGGGTGCTAGTATATTGAATTTGAACATGAAATAATAAAATATACATAGTCCAAACGTTTATTGTTCAAATACATACTCCACATTTATTTGGACAACAGCAACAAGTAGGTAGTCAATTTCTTGGTGGGAAAAAAATAAGCAGGATTGATGTTGCTAAAGTAGAACGGTCCTGCTCATAAGAGCTTACAATCTAAAAGATTATACTTCTAATGAACTGTGCTTTCACAGGTTACAGCGAAACAAACGGTTAATATGAATCACTTAGTAGGCTTATCCACAAAACAGGCTGCAGATCAAAATATCAATATAAAAAATACATATGTGCCAAAATAAAACATCTCCCACCTCCCCAAATCCCCCACACATACGTTTCTCATCAGGTTTGTCTGAAAACTGCATCTCAGTCTAAATAAGCAAACTATAGCCAAGTGCAGATTTGGAAGAGCAGAGCAATTGACGTGTTAGGATTACAATGCAAAGATAATAAACACACAATAATTGTACAATAACACACACAAACACACCTTAGAAGGAAAAAAATGCAAAACATTTACAGCCCACATCATAACACAGCGTAAGTGTGGTCTGGGGCAATTCAGCACAATATCTCTTCCTTTCCAAACCACCACAGACAAGGACTTGCAGAAAATAACCTGGCGTCTTCCAAGGCAAATCACCCACTACTGCAACTTTTTATATAACATAGGTCACACCCACCACTGTCATTCATTTGGTCAGAGAAAGTGTTTGCACCTGATTAATTCTCTTCCCACCTGCATTAACCCTTGGTATACAGGCCCCACAAATCAGAGTCAGAAAAAAAAAGCCACAGTGAAGTATACCTGTGCAGCATACAACAGAACATTGAACAGGGATGTGAAGGGGAACCCCATTGGCAATATTTATTGGCACAATTCACTCCAGATTATTGCATGAATTAAGGCAGTCACATGACCACATCTCGCATGCAATACTGAAAATGTCAATTCACTTTTGCTAGTATGCGGGATTTCCCATAAATCGGAAAAACACTCAGGAAATCAAACATAAAAAAGCCTTACACCCCGGTCACATCAAAGCCGATTTCGAAACCGTGCGACTTACAGTGAAGATGCCAATTTCCTTGCGATTTGCAAGACATCTGACACAGATATCTATGCAAATCGCCACAAAAGTAGGTCATGTACTACTTTAGAAATGTGTCGGAAACGCACCCATGTGACCTCTCTAATAGCAGACAATAGGGTGCGACTTGGCATACGAATTACAACTCGCATGTCATGCAAATCACATGCCAAGTCGCACTCAATGTGACCGCTATTAGAGCGTTCATATTGGTGTGGTTCAAACCAGTAATGAATACACTACTTTTCATGCAATTTGCAGAGAGATCTGTGTCAGATGTCTTGCAAATCGCACTTTAAATCAGGATATCCCCCGACTTTGATATCATGCGACTTCACGGTAAGTCACATGATGTGACCGTAGTGTAAGTTGCACCACTTCAAAATCCGCTTTGATGTGACTGGGGTGGCACCCAGTCACATCGGGTGCAATTTGGCATGCGATTTGCATGCCAGGCGACTTGCAAATTATAGGCCAAGTCGCACCCTATTGTCCACTATAGGCTCCATTCACATCCAATCTGATTTTGAAATTGTGCGACTTCACTGTAAGTTGCCCAATTTCCAAATCGGATTAGATGTGACTGTGGTGTTAGCCCCCGGTCACATCAGGTGCAATTTGGCATGCAATTTGCAAGTCGCAGGGCATGCAAATCGCATGCCAAGTTGCATCCAGGGTGCTCGATTTCAGGTGCGATTTGGGAATTGAAATTGTACCTGATATCGGATCTAATGAATATGGATGTGAGAGTCTTAAGACGTGATTTGCTGCAGCACAATTTCAAAAGTAGTTCTTGTCTAACATTTTCTGCATTTTGTAGCAATTTCACATATAGACTACAATAGAAATCGCAATGCAATACACAATTGAAAACGCAATAACTAATTTGTAAATCTTCAGAAAACACGGTGAAATTGCTAACAAAAAGCACAATTTTAAATCTCCTCTAGTGTGAACCAAGCAGGCAATTCAACAGAGGAAATAAATCTTTGAAGGCATGTGGTATCTGCATGCTCGGATAAGGGTCTGTTATGGATTTGGGGGGGGGGCCTCAATGCCATTATTTTATTAATTTTTTTTTTTTAAATCCTTTTCTCTCAAATCCTTCCCAAAAGGGGGTGGTGTGCAAACCAGCATTATCAAATCAATCATTAGTTCAGGCCCTTATCTCATCCCATCGTTTGACATTCACATAAGGTGCAGCTTTAAAGGTGTTTGAACAGACAAGGCCTCATTCTAATTCACATTCTAGGGATCATTTAGACAGAAAGCAAAGATGCTGCCACCAGCACATCTATGTTAGGGTAGCCACCCAAGGAGATCATGCAAATTCATTACCGTGGTTGGGATTCAAACCAACAACTCTAGCGCTGTGAGGCAGCTGTGCTAACCACTAATTCACGGAGCTGTTGAACACTAATCCTGCCTGTATTTCTGTTGTGTGAATCAACCCTAAGTCCCTGGGCAAGGTAAGTGTAACTAGCCAGATATCTCAAATGTGACACAAATGTTGTACTATGTTGCCAGTTCAGATGTATGTGGTTCTATGTATCCCAATACAAAGGATTGCAATACTAATATAGGCGTACCTCAGTTTACCAAAGCCACGGTTAACGTAATTTTCAGTTTACGAATGAAAATCCATTGAAAATGCCTCGGTTTACACAATTGTTAATAATTTTTTTTGCAATACAAAGTGTATGTTGGCGCTGATTTTTAAATGCAAGCCTTTTTTTTTTCTTCACTATAGTTCACAAGCCTATCTATCACTTTTCCCGAAGTTACAGAAAAACTTGTATTTTTTAATAAACTAAAAATAAACATTGTTTCTGTCAGGACTCACCACTGGTGGTGGCACTCACCTGCCGCGTGGGCTGCAGTACCAGGGCTGACCAGCGGGTGCTCTCAGCAGCCAGAAGCTCACTCCTGCAGTCAGCCAACACCTGGGGCTGATTGCAGGAGGTGTATTTAAGGAATGACCAGGCCTGTGATCAGGGCCTTGGTGTATGTTTCCCATGAGCCCCTGTACCTTGTATCCTGTTCCTCTGCCTATCTGATTTGTTGCCGACTCTGCATTGTTCCTGACCCTGCTGACCGTCTCCTGTTTAACCCTGGCTTGCCTGACCATCCTTCTGCCTGATCCCCTGTACCGTGCTGCCCGTGAGTTCCTTAGCCCGGCTTGTGACCCTGACCATTCTCTGCCTGATCCTCTGTACCGCTCTGCCCGTGAGTTCCTGAACCCGGCTTGTGACCCTGACCATTCTCTGCCTGCTCTTTCGATACCTCGCTGCCCGCACGTTGCTGACCTGGCCTGCCTGACTACGCCTTACGCTACCCAGACGATCCATCCATCCTGCACGGATCCAGTCACTACTGTTCAAACCTGCCAGCCCCTTCACATCAGGCTTCCTACCTGCATATACCTCTGGCGGATCCCTCTACCACGAGCAGGTGTACTCAGGGGCCGCGACCTGGTTCCTGTCTGCTCCAAGTCCATCCCCACCATCAGGGGCCCTGGTGAATAAGCAGACTGGGACTTAGACTCCGCGCCCTGGGGAATCCTACCCTGAGGACTGCTAGGGGTATCACCAGACGGTCGTTAACAGAACCATATGGCCGGCCTGACCCTTCCACCTCTCCAGCCCTGACTGCGCCTGTGTTCCTGCACATACTAAGATTAGTGGAAGGTTGGTTTATTTACTGAGCATTATATATTTGGGTAGCTAATAATAAATTATATTATATCATTCCTGAAGCCTGTTACTTCCCTGTGTCAGTCCACACATTTCTGGTCATACCCGGATCCCTGACATTACACCAAGGCCACTCCTGACCAGAAGTGGCTGCACAGGGAAGCCATCTTGGCTTAATGTTGTGAAGGATGCATTCTGAGGATGTTGTATATTTTTGTCTGCTAGTCTTTGATGACAGAGATTATGCCTATGAGACTCTGAAGGAGTATACCAGGGATCAGCTGCTATAATGCATACGGATTGCTAATTTTCTAGTGGATCAGGGCACAGAGTTCTCTGAGGTGCAGCCATTGATTCAGGTTTGTGCAGAGTTGGCTTTGTCTGGTGCCCCTGAGGGAAGGGATGACTTTTTGCCGCCATTTAGTGCAGACCAGGTAGAGTCCCTGATATGGTTATTAGAGGATGATGTGGATTGCTTCTTGGAGCATTATTCTGCATGTTCACAACAGGTGCTTAGGGATTGTATAAACGCAGTGCAGTCTTTGACCTGACGGGCTTTGTGTAAGCTGAGCTTTGTTCAGCCAGTACTGCAGACATGGTCGGATTTGTTACATCCAGCCTCAGTCAGCTTGCAATAACCCAGTCCTGCTTCTAATCTATTTCTGCAAAGCTCTATTCCTGCATTCCCGACAGCACCCCCCAGTGACAGCCCAGTATACCCTGCTATCAACCACATGTCAGAACCCTGTTCCCACTCGCTGCACCTATCCTGCGTTTAATCCTGTAAAGAAGCCCTCTGTAGCAACTGCTCCTTCCTCTGTTCCATCCTCCAGCTCTTCTCTGTCTGCAGCTGCTCCATCTGTTTACAGACCTGCGTTTACTTACAGTGCTCCAGTAACTAAAACCAGGAAGAAGCGAAAATTCTTTCCAACCAGTACCATCCTGCCAGTATCCAAACCAGTCAGCCTGCGGTCTGAGAACCCGCCTTCTGTTCAGCCTGATGCTCGAATGCCTGATGACCCAGTGTACGCTACCCAGCCGGATGATGCTACCCGGCCTGATGACCTGATCCAGCGAGATGACTCAGTGCCCGCTGTCGTGCCAGATGACTCGTTGCCCGCTGTCGAGCTTGGTGACTCGTTGCCTGTTGTTCTGCCAGATGACTCGTTGCCCGCTGTCGTGCCAGATGACTCATTGCCCGCTGTCGTGCCAGATGACTCATTGCCCGCTGTCGTGCCAGATGACTCATTGCCCGCTGTCGTGCCAGATGACTCATTGCCCGCTGTCGTGCCAGATGACTCGGTGCCCGCTGTCGAGCTTGGTGACTCATTGCCCGCTGTTCTGCCAGATGACTCGTTGCCCGCTATTCTGCCAGATGACTCTTTGCCCGCTGTCGTCGCAGATGACTCGTTGCCCGCTGTCGTGCCAGATGACTCGTTGCCCGCTGTCGTGCCAGATGACTCGGTGCCCGCTGTCGAGCTTGGTGACTCATTGCCCGCTGTTCTGCCAGATGACTCGTTGCCCGCTATTCTGCCAGATGACTCGTTGCCCGCTGTCGTGCCAGATGACTCGTTGCCCGCTGTCGTGCCAGATGACTCGTTGCCCGCTGTCGTGCCAGATGACTCGTTGCCCGCTGTCGTGCCAGATGACTCGTTGCCCGCTGTCGTGCCAGATGACTCGTTGCCTGCTGTTCTGCCAGATGACTCGTTGCCCGCTGTTCTGCCAGGTGACTCGTTGCCCGCTGTTCTGCCAGGTGACTCGTTGCCCGCTGTCGTGCCAGGTGACTCGTTGCCCGCTGTCGTGCCAGATGACTCGTTGCCCGCTGTCGTGCCAGATGACTCGTTGCCCGCTGTCGTGCCAGATGACTCGTTGCCCGCTGTCGTGCCAGATGACTCGTTGCCCGCTGTCGTGCCAGGTGACTCGTTGCCCGCTGTCGTGCCAGATGACTCGTTGCCCGCTGTCGTGCCAGGTGACTCGTTGCCCGCTGTCGTGCCAGGTGACTCGTTGCCCGCTGTCGTGCCAGATGACTCGTTGCCCGCTGTAGTGCCAGATGACTCGTTGCCCGCTGTCGTGCCAGGTGACTCGTTGCCCGCTGTCGTGCCAGGTGACTCGTTGCCCGCTGTCGTGCCAGATGACTCGGTGCCCGCTGTCGTGCCAGATGACTCGTTGCCCGCTGTCGAGCCAGATGACTCGTTGCCCGCTGTCGAGCTTGGTGACTCGTTGCCCGCTGTTCTGCCAGATGACTTGTTGCCCGCTGTTCTGCCAGATGACTCGTTGCCCGCTGTTCTGCCAGATGACTCGTTGCCCGCTGTTCTGCCAGATGACTCGTTGCCGCTGTTCTGCCAGATGACTCGTTGCCCGCTGTTCTGCCAGATGACTCGTTGCCCGCTGTTCTGCCAGATGACTCGGTGCCCGCTGTTCTGCCAGATGACTCGGTGCCCGCTGTCGAGCTTGGTGACTTGGTGCCCGCTGTTCTGCCAGATGACTCGGTGCCCGCTGTTCTGCCAGCTGACTCGTTGCCTGCTGTTCTGCCAGATGACTCGTTGCCCGCTGTTCTGCCAGATGACTCATTGCCCACTGTTCTGCCAGATGACTCGTTGCCTGCTGTCGAGCCTGATGACTCGTTGCCCGCTGTCGAGCCTGATGGCCCGGTGCCCGCAGTCGTGCCAGATGACTCGGCGCCCGCGGTCATGCCAGGTGACCCGGCGCCCGCTGTCGTGCCAGATGACTCGTTGCCCGCTGTCCTGCCAGATGACTCGGTACCCGCTGTTCTGCCAGATGACTCGGTGCCCGCTGTTCTGCCAGATGACTCAGTGCCCGCTGTCGAGCTTGGTGACTCGGTGCCCGCTGTTCTGCCAGATGACTCAGTGCCCGCTGTTCTGCCAGATGACTCGTTGCCCGCTGTTCTGCCAGATGACTCGTTGCCCGCTGTTGAGCTTGGTGACCCGGTGCCCGCTGTTCTGCCAGATGACTCATTGCCCACTGTTCTGCCAGATGACTCGTTGCCCGCTGTCGAGCCTGATGACTCGTTGCCTGCTGTCGAGCCTGATGGCCCGGTGCCCGCTGTCGTGCCAGATGACTCGGCGCCCGCTGTCGTGCCAGATGACTCGGTGTCTGCTGCTCCACCCGATGTGCCTCTGTCCGCTGCTCCGCCCGATGTGCCTCTGTCCGCTGCGCAGCCCGATGTGCCTCTGTCCGCTGCGCAGCCCGATGTGCCAGCCCCTGATGTCCAGCTAAACTGGTAAATAACTGATTTCCAGCCTGCTCCTGGAAATCCTGTGTCCAGCGACCTGCCTTCCTGGGTTCCACTACATAAAGAGAAGTCTGCCAGCAGGAAACCCAGCCAGCCGGTTGACTCCGGCAGTAAGATATCCAGCCAGTTACCTGACCCAGGCGGTGGAACATTTTGCCCACTAAGGACTGTTTGGAGCGTCGCTCCTTTGGGGGGGGGGGGATACTGTCAGGAATGGACTCAGCACTGGTGGTGGGAGATATTGTTTTATTTTAGAAAAACGCACAACCAACAAACATTTTCTACATAATAAATAAATAACATAACAACATCACATTCCATCATGTGCAAACATAAAAGTAAACATTTCAAAGCCATACTAGAGTCCTTATGGCTGAAGCAATATGTACGCAAGGCCCTTACAGCCGAAAACAAAGATTTGCATTCACGGCTTTTATGGCCTAGAAAACAAAACGTGGCCTTTATGGCCCAATAAATCTGCATATATGGCCTTTACGGCCTAATAAGAAAGCACTTATGGCCTTTATGGCCGAATACAATAGCATATGTAGCCTACATGGCCTATAGTCAAACACTGTACAAAACATCACACAAAACAACATTACTTAGACTGAGGAACATAGATCTTCGGGTCAATGTAGCCTTTTTTCCAAAAAAAATCATCTCTGAAAATCTAAGGGAGGGTGGAAGGAGAAAGAAAACCGGATAGTTTACCAACACCCAGAGATCAACAGGCGGCAACTACAGGCCTGATATTCCTCCACGCCTTTATCCAGACCCCTCGCCGCCACCTGTCTTTCTCAAGACCCCGAACTTTCCCCACTTCACCAAGAATGCCGCGCACCACCTCCGAGACAGGAAGGACTTTTTTCCGTATGGACACTTTGCACCGTGCATTCCATGTGAAATAGCGGACAACTAGGCTAACTAAATAGTGTCCAAATCAAAACCCCGGCGATCTTGCAATGCTCCATATACCCACTCTGCATAAGACATGCAGTGCAAGAAAGGAACACCCAGAGCACTCCCCACCTCTTTGTAGACCTCAACATTGAAGGGACACTGAAGCAGGAAGTGGTCCATAGTTTCCACTTCACCCCGACACTCCTCTCTCGGACAACCGCGGTCATCCAGAGAGGTACTTCAAGTTTCCCCTCACGAAGAGTCTGCCGTGAAAACCGACCCAGGCCTGGTCCCTAAATTTCAAGGGAATCCGCTCAGAATTTAATAAGCGTAAGCCCTCTCGCATAATATGGCCCGGGCAATCCCTCAAGGCCAGCGGCGCATGACAAACAACGGACGCAATCCTCTCACCCAGGAGCTTCCTAGGGAGGGACTTAATATCCTCCGCCGTCACACGCCACCGCCTAAGTATTTTCAGGCTCGGGGCAACATAAGTCGGGAGCTCACCGTGCTTAACCCTCAGGCTTTTCACTAGCCCACCACTCTCCCAGCAACTCGGAAAAGGCCTAAACCAGTTCCGGAAGAGGCTTACCCATGCAGAAGGTCTCTCTGCCAGCATGTTACCAAAATTGTGCTTCAAAAACACCAGAGAGAAGAAGACTACCGGGTTGACCATACCTAAGCCACCCTTCCTCCTGGATAGGTAAGTCACATCTCGCTTCACAAGGTTCAGTCTGCTTCTCCATAACAGCTGGAAAAAGCAACTGTAGATCCTCGTATAAAGAAACTCTGGCAAGATGCAAACTGTGCTGACATACAAAAATATGGGGATCAGGTAAGTTTTGATCAGATCAACCCTTTCCCTCAAGGAGAGCCGCCACCCCTTCCAGCATTTCACCTTGACTTCGGCATTGGTCAGCCTGGCCTCCCAATTCGATTTGCCATAATCGGCCGGGCCAAATTCAATGCCTAATACTTTGACGGACTGCTGAGGCACAGAGAAAGCGTCCGGGAGCACAAAGCCCTCGCCCTCCACACCTAACCAAAGGACTTCAGACTTGTCTTGATTGATCTTGGACCCCGATACTGCTCTATCTCTGAGACAACCACCTGCGCCTCCACAGCCCCAGAGACAAAGACAGAAACATCATCAGCATAGGCAATGACCCTCAGGGGCGGCTCACCAGCAACACCCACTGGCACCCCGCACAACGCTCCACAGTCCAGCCTCCTTACAAAGGGGTCGACCGCAAAGACGTAGAGCAGAGGACTCAGCGGGCATCCCTGGCGCACCCCAGAGCCAACCCCAAAGGGCTGCCCAATCCAACCGTTCACCAGCATGAAGTTCTCCGCCTCTCTATACAATGTCTTGAGCCAGCCAATGAACCCCCCCTCCAGGCCATACCTGTCAAGAAGATGCCAAAGGTACTCATGACTAACCCGATCAAAAGCCTTGGCCTGATCCAATGTCAGCAAATACTTTCCCCAGCCTTCAGCCCTGCACCGCTCCAGAACCTCCCGGACAGCTAACACCGCTGTGAAGGTGCTCCTGCCCTGGACCGAGCAGTGCTGCCGACCGGAACGCAGCGTGTCTGCGACTGACGCCAGGCGCCAGAAAAGAATCTTTGCCAGAATCTTTCTACCAACATTGAGAAGACTGATGGGGCGCCAGTTCTCAATCATTGAAGGGTCCTTACCCTTTGACAGCAGGATAACAGCAGACTTTTTCATGGAGGGAGGGAGTGAACCTTCTTGCAGACAGCAGTTAAATACCTCCGCGAGATGGGGTGCCAAGCTAGTCTTGAAAGATTTATAAAATTCTGCCGTCAAACCATCTGGCCCAGGTGTTTTCTTAATTGCCAGACTGTCTATGGCTTTGGCTACCTCTGCCTCTGTTATCTCGTCCATCAAACTTGGAAGCGGGACGTCTCTCCCCAGACCCGGTGTAGAGTCCAGAAAACTTAACATCCTCTCCCGGTCGAGGTGCTTCTTCCCCAAAGATCTCTATAAAAGGACCTCGAGACCTGCAGAATCCCTGACCTGGATTTTGTCAGGGAACCTGTACTATCTCTCAGGCCTAAGGCCGTTTTAATCACTGCGCCTTGTCTGCAATTCTGGTAAGGGTCGGACGAGTGATATTTCCCGTAATCCCTCTCCAGAACCAAAGAAGCGTGCCGGTCATACTGATGCTTCCTAAGAAGGAGTTTCACCTCCGCAATCGCCCCAGGATCACCACCAACCGAGACGAGGCGGTCAAGTCTCCTCCGCAGCCGCTGGTAGGCAACATATCTATCAAGTTGTACCTTTTTACCTACGGCCCTGAAAAACCCACTGGTTCGCTTTTTAGTGAGCTCCCACCACTCCGTCTTACTGCTGCAGAAATCCAGAAGGGTCACCTGAGCCTGGAAAAATTCCTAAAAGGATTGTCTCACACTCACGTCATCCAGCAAGGCCGAATTCATCTTCCAGATGCCCCTTCCTTTCAGCGGCGTATCTGAAACATTCAAGATCACAGATAGCATAAGGTGATCGGAAAACTCAACCGCCTGACACACAGGTGCCGAGAAGGCAGAGTTCCCCTTTAAAAAAAAAAAACCTATCTATCCTGCTCTCACTCCTACCTCGCCTAAAAGTGAAGCCTGTGCTGTCTGGGCTGCACTTAACTAGTGCATCTACCAGACCTGCATCCCTGACTATCGCAGTAAGAAAAACGTTATCATAGCCCAACCTGTCAGTGAAGCCTCTCCTGTCTTTGGGCCTAGTGATGGTGCTAAAATCACCTCCAAAGACAACTTGCCGGGCCGTAAAAAGGAAAGGCCTAATCTTTGTGAAAAGGCATTTCCTTTCCCACTTGGACTGCGGGCCATATATATTGATTAAACGCAGGTCATGCCCCCTCACAGAGACGTCCAAGACCATGCACCTTCCGATCTCTACCTCAATAATCCGCCGGCACGTTACCATACCAGTAAAAAGCACTGCAACCCCACTGTAAGGCTCGGCCGCAAGAGACCAAAAGGAGGGGCCACGCCTCCACTCCCTCTTTGCCAGGTGGATATCGGCAAGCCTATTGAGCCGGGTCTCTTGCAAAAACAAAACATCAACATCAACCTCGCTGAGCAAAAATAAAGGCCATGTTACGAGCACTCAGACTTCAAGCTGGCAACATTAATAGTTGCCACTTTTACTGGGGTGGGAACTGCCATCAGGATGATTAAGATAGGCATTCCTCAGTCTGACTATCTACCACTGGGGCCCCCTGTACTATGGGGGTTGTCCCAGCACTGTTCTCAGCCTCCTCCATCAGATCCGCAGAGTCAGATGAAACATCCCCACGATCTGATAGAGACCCAAACTTATTCCCTGAAAGTATGTCAACCTGATCTGAAGAGCACAGAGACTATGCGGATGCTGAGGAAAGCACAACCCTATTTTTTCCTCTTCTTCCCTCCGACCAGGACCCACTCCCCCCCATCCCCAATAGGGGAAACCACCACACTCTCTGATGAAGCTTGGGAAGAGCCTTCCCCCTCAACTGCCCTCCTCCTGCACATACCCCCACCTCTTCTTCCCACAGCCCTAGCACCCCTGCCTGAGACCACAGGACACCCAGGCTTAGGGACCTTCAGCGAAACCTTCACACACCCCCCTCCGCCCCACGGGCTGCTTCTGCCAAAATGGAACTCTTAATAGGTTCAATACACACACGAGGGTTTAACACAGACACAAGCGGATGGGTAGACTTGACCACAGGCTGCACAGCCAACAAAACTGACACGGAAGGGACAGGGGGGTTCACAGACACAGAGACCGGCACACCAGACAGAACTGACACAGAAGGTTTAGACACACCAGGTGACCCAGGCTCAGGGACAGACAATGGATCTAGAACAGGGGAGCTAACTAAGGACGGAACTGGGGGGGCCAGCTGACCTGAGGGAAGAACTGCTGCCGGGAGCGCAGAGTCCTCTGCATCCATCCAACGAATTATGTTGCAACTCCTGGCCTGGTGGCCCAGACCCTGACACAGGGAACACCTCTGTTTTGGGCAGGAAGAGGAAAAATGGCCCTTATCACCACATCTGTGGCACAATTTGGGTTGCCCCTGATAAAAGACCACAATTCGATCTCTCCCAATAAACGCAGATGAGGGCATATGCTGTACAACATTATCAAAGACCCTGAGCTTAACCTGGGCAGTCCATCCACCTGTCCATATACCTTTGTCATCAAGCACTTTGCTTAGGGACCCCAGCACCTCACCATACCTCCTCAGCAACACAATGAGGTCCGCTGGGGGAATGGACTCATTCCGTACCAAAATAGTTATGTTCTTTATTAATGGTTGCCTAGACACCACTCTAGGGGACAAACCCTCCCACTCCTTGGAAGACTTGCAGGACCTATCATACCTCTCCCAGAAGAGGTCCAAGCTTTCTGGCTTGACAAATGACAGATCATACTCATTAGACCCAACAGAATTAATCAGGGCAAAGATTTCAGCAACCCTGAAGCCCATGCCCAGGATCTTATCAGCCACAGATCCTCTAGAAGGCAGGGTGCCTCCCCCCACCCACCTCAACTGAACGACATTCCTCCGTGCGAAGGATCCACCCCCAAATGGCCGGGCACCCGACTGAGACACTTGCGGGGGGGCCCCTCCCCCCGAGTTGCCAAGCATAGCAGCGTAGCTAATTTTGGGCTGCCCACCTCCCGATACTGCCTCAGGAAAGGAAACCCTGCCGACAAAAGACCCACCGGGGGGGGCCGCTCTTCACTACCCCCACGGCCGCTGCAGCAGTTCCAGTAAACACCGATAAGCCCTCGGCCTGCCCGGCAACAGCGAGACCTGCACCCGACACCACAGCAGGCTCCACCCCCCCCCCCGCACTCCCTCCCGCTGGCACGGGGAGACCAGACACGGGCACAGACAGCGCACTATCAGCGGCCCGGAGGGGACCGGCTGCTCCCACTCCCATAGATGACACAGTAGCACATACAGGTTTACTCACACCAGTCCCAGCAGATGACTCAACAGCACACAGAGTTTTACACATACCAGTCCCGGCCGCAGGAGCTGACAATCCGGCTGCGGACCCTCCCAGCTCAGCGTGCACCTCGGCGTGCACCTGTGTAACAGCACCTCCCCCTGCAGCAGGCTGGAGTCTATACACAGTCTTTTCCTTAACCCTTACCCGGGCTTTCCTCGGGACTCCATCTTCCTCTGCTCCCTCCTCTTCAGACAAGTTCTCTGTAAACCTGAACTTTCTCCCACTCAAAGGAGATTCCAGCTCTCGTATGACCTGTAAAGCCCCTGCACAGTCATCCTGGTCATCCGCTCCCCCACTCCTGGGTTACCTGACCAGGGGTAAGAAGCTGTGATCCGTCCTCCATGGGGACTGACACCGCCGCAGCCCCACTCTGTTGCAAACATTTTCCAGCCTGCTGGCTTGCCTCCTCCTCAGCGATATCCATAGAATCCCCAGAGTGGGATGGAGCAATATCCTCATCTGCAGTCAATTTGACATCCTTCCTCATCGCCATGAATCTGGTCTCACTGGCATATTTCTCCTTGAAACTGCCGCTCGTCTCCTTTTAATGCTGCAACAAGCAGCGCTTGGCTTTTTACTTTATCTTCCAAGCTGTTGACCTCCGGTCGATGCAATGAACGCTTGTTGCTCCAGGCCCTCTCCCAGACCCCCTTTTTCTTCCTATATTCCATCCGGAGCTTGGCCAGCTTCTCCTCCTCTTTTGCAATCCGCAAAATTCTGGCAGCAACTTTGCTCCTATAAACTGACACAGGCTCACCCTTTTTTGGGCCACCGCCTAAGTCCTCAAACACTGGTACTGGGGGTGGAGTACCACAGCTAGCATGGGAAACGCCGTCTGACGTCCCCCCGGACCTCCACCCGGGTCCCCTCCTGGGCCTATCCCAGGGTCCTGCATGGTTCTCAGTAGAGCACCGAACTCTAGAGCCTGGCTTCAGGCCTACACCTGGAGCTCAGCAGAGCACAATCCAATACAGCCTCTCCACATGCTGTCAGGAATGACTCGCCACAGGGCTCATCTGCCTTGTGGGCTGCAGTACCAGGGCTGACCAGCGGGTGCCCTCAGCAGCCAGAAGCTCACTCCTGC